GTTGTACTAATTTATTTCTTAAAAACTTCAGATTTGGAAAAGCTTATCGCTATGACTTGCACCGAATTCAGCGCACGCATTGCGTAGACTTAAGCCACCAACACGAAGAAAAATTAATTCAACTTTCTCTTTTGAATTAAAAAACTGATTCATCTTAACAACTGAATAAAAACGTTATTTTTATAAACATTCAAATACAACAGCTGTCAAATAACACAATGAGAGCACAATAATGATGGCTCCTTTCAAACAAAACAATTTTTATTTAATTTCCAAGGCCTACTATTGCTATGTTAGCTTCTTTTAATTCCTACCGACTGCGCATTATTTTCGTTGTTTCTGCTGATTGTTCTAAAACGGTTACTTCAATAAAGAAATGCGACATAACATTATTCATTTAGAATTTGAAGATTTGTCAAATTATGTAAAAAGATACGGTGTTGCCATTTCAAAGAAGTATTGTTTTAGTAGCTAGTGTAGAAATCTGGCAACATCAAAAAGCAGTATTTGTACATTTTTTTAGTTAAGTTATTTCCTACAACACTGCATTTGGAAGTAGTAGTTTATCATTTCAAATAAAAAAGTTGACTTGTCAGGTTTTTAAAAAATTACACTGTATATATGATTTTTCAGGTTTTTCTGACCAAAAACCGCCATTATCTCAATGAAGATGCATTTTTTCGAAAAAAGGTTTCAAATAAAAGTTATTCAAAATTAAATTTTCTACAAAATGATTTTCGATTTTCCCAATAGTTTCCTCGTATATTTTTTCAATGAAGTACAGATTATGTCAAAATTAACGTTTAGGAGCTAAACTAAGTAAAGGTAATATTTATGAGCATCAAACGTATCATTTTAAAGGTTTTTCGACGGTGTACATTACGAATTAATTATGCGCTTTTTAATATTTTCTAGAAAAATCTGTTTCCATTGAAATTTTTTGCGACAGCGATAAAGCAATTTTACATAAAAAACCTAGATTATATAAAAAATTGTTAAAAATAATAAATAAAAAAGTTGCTTTTTAAATATAAATAAATAAAAAAAATTACACTGATTTTTTTTTGTTATGCATTTGCAGCCTCAGATAATTCATTTCCTATTGTTATCAAGTATGAATTTTCAGTTTCATTATATTAAAAAAAAATTATTTTTAATATTCAAAGTAAAAAAAAATCAAAGAAAACAGATTGTTCTGGAAAATATTAAAAAGCCCATAATTAATTTGTATTCTACAACCCCGAAAACTTATAAAATGATACTTTGATAATTATAAATATTCAAACCTCGGAAAACTATATAAGATTTTCAGAGAATTTTCCGCAATTTTCTTTTCCCTAATTCACTTTTGTTATTTATAAATGAATTGACCATTATTTTGGTTCCAAAACATTAATTTTCATGTAATCTGTACTTAATTTAAAAAATATACCAGAAAACTTGGGAAAATCGAAATTTTTCATAGGAGTAATTTTGTAGAAAATTTAATTTTGACCAACTTTCATGAGAAACTTTTTTTCGAAAAAATACATCTTCATTGAGATATGTAAAAAAATGTAAAAAAATCTCAGAGTAAAAAAGTTCGCTCATTTTTTTCTTATTTTCTTGTACTATTATATTACGTTCAGAAGACGAAAGCATATAGATTTTCGAAACTTTAACAACTTTTTAAAGCGTGCGATATATAGCGATGTGTTTTTTGTATTTTATATATGTCTGCTTTTCTCAGTGTGAGATTTTTTGTTAGGCAAATCTATTTTCACAAAAATAACCCTTCGTCCTTTTGGCGCAAAGGTTTATTTATTTCCTTTTTTAAATTTTGTCACACGTTGCAAATTAGGCAATAAATAATAGACCGATCGAAATAACTCATTTATAGGAGAAAAAAAAATTGTTACCTGGACTTTTATAAGTGGAAATAGTAAAGGGGCATATAATAAACGTAAAATAAATAAATGCGTGAGCAGGGGCGGCGGAGGGTTGATTTGGGGGGTTGAAAAGGGGTGAAAAATGGTATCATTGAGATTTCTGGCGAAAGTTGATGTCAAACAAAAAAGTATCCAATACAAAAGTTATAGATCATGAAAAAATCTACAACTCTTGTAGAGGGCACTTTTGAAGATAACCTCAAAATTTCCGAGAAAAATGCGAAAAACAGGTTTTTTCCTTTTTTTTCGTTTTTTATTTCTCATTTCCGCAAAAATAATTTAATTTTGACGAAACTTGGTGAAAGTATACTTTGCTGTGTCTTAAATAACCACAATTTTTTTTAGATAAAAAAATCAAGAAGTTTCCGAGATATTCATATTTTCCGGTCTGAAACACTTTTTTTTCAAAGAAAAATTCTACTTAAAAAAATCATCGTACAGAGTTCTGCCGGTAATCATTTTTTTCGTTTTGACATATACTTTTTGGTGAAATAAAAAAAATTGGAATCGCAGTTCAAAAACATGCTCAAAAATGCAAAAAAGAAAAATGACTCTTGCAGAAATGAATTTTTCAGTAATTATTGTTGATAGTTTGTTTAAATTTAAAGAAAATTCAAAAACTGATTACACCATTCGATTGTACGGAAAAAATACAAAAGAAACTGTGTCTCATTGTTTGACCCGAAATTTTATTTTTGTACAGTATTGCTATAAACATAATATTTTTTTTTCGTAGGATCGATTAATGTACTTATTTTTTTTAACTTTGAATTGAATTCATAGATGTATAAGCGACTCTTTAATTAAATTATGTAAAATTCAGATTTTTGCTTTCAAAATTTAAAAAATATTTACAAAGGATATTTACAGTTAATAATACTAGGCGAATCTTGGTCTTTTTGGCAACTTTTTAAATTGATCTTCATCGTCCTATCCTTCATTAAACTGGGTTTCTTCCTGATCTTCAAACGTTTCTTCGATATCACTTAATTCTTCGGTTAATTGATCTTCCGGGTTCAAGCAAAGACTGGGCTGCTCGATTTCATTTGAAATGTCTTCGGAATCACTGAAATTTTCTGAAATTTTGTCAAGGTTCAAACAATTGTCCGAACCATGACATTTTGTACATAAATCTGTACATCGCAGTCCATGTTTTCGACACCCGCATCTATTACCGTCACAACTGGTTTCGCAGCTGCAAGAGATTGTTTTTATTAAATCTTCAGGAACGACTGAAACTTCTGTAAAGCGAGGCATGAGTATTTTGGAATTATTCGCAATTACTTCTTTCCAGCCCCACTTGGTTGCAGTTATTTTGTTTCCAAGCCACGTCTGAAGCTGAAAGTATGCTCTATAGGAGTGTTGTGTAGCTGCTCCGACAGTTGGTGGTAATTTTTCTAATTTAAAAGTAGACTTTGCAGTTAATACTTTGTATTGCTGAAATCTCAAATCATCCAGAGATAATTTATCATTTGTGCATTTGTAAATAGACGAAATTAATTTACAACCATTTCGAACAATGACTTTTGATTCTGCATTAGTCTCATAAAAAGGTTTTACCAACGGTAATAGATGCGGGTGTCGAAAACATGGAGTGCGATGTACAGATTTATGTACAAAATGTCATGGTTCGGACAATTGTTTGAACGTTGACAAAATTTCGGAAAATTTCAGTGATTCCGAAGACATTTCACATGAAATTGAGAAGCCCAGTCTTTGCTTGAACCCGGAAGATCAATTAAACGAAGAATTAAGTGATATCAAAGAAACGTTTGAAGAACAGGAAGACTGGGTTCTAATGAAGGATCGGACGATGAAGTTCAAGTTAAAAGGCTGCCAAAAAGACCAAGATTCGCCTAGTATTATTAACTGTAAATATCCTTTGTAAATATTTTTTAAATTTTGAAAGCAAAAATCTGAATTTTACATAATTTAATTAAAGAGTCGCTTATACATCTATGAATTCAATTCAAAGTTAAAAAAAATAAGTACATTAATCGATCCTACGAAAAAAAATATTATGTTTATAGCAATACTGTACAAAAATAAAATTTCGGGTCAAACAATGAGACACAGTTTCTTTTGTATTTTTTCCGTACAATCGAATGGTGTAATCAGTTTTTGAATTTTCTTTAAATTTAAACAAACTATCAACAATAATTACTGAAAAACTCATTTCTGCAAGAGTCATTTTTCTTTTTTGCATTTTTGAGCATGTTTTTGAACTGCGATTCCAATTTTTTTTATTTCACCAAAAAGTATATGTCAAAACGAAAAAAATGATTACCGGCAGAACTCTGTACGATGATTTTTTTAAGTAGAATTTTTCTTTGAAAAAAAAGTGTTTCAGACCGGAAAATATGAATATCTCGGAAACTTCTTGATTTTTTTATCTAAAAAAAATTGTGGTTATTTAAGACACAGGAAAGTATACTTTCACCAAGTTTCGTCAAAATTAAATTATTTTTGCGGAAATGAGAAATAAAAAACGAAAAAAAAGAAAAAAACCTGTTTTTCGCATTTTTCTCGGAAATTTTGAGGTTATCTTCAAAAGTGCCCTCTACAAGAGTTGTAGATTTTTTCATGATCTATAACTTTTGTATTGGATACTTTTTTGTTTGACATCAACTTTCGCCAGAAATCTCAATGATACCATTTTTCACCCCTCTTCAACCCCCCAAATCAACCCTCCGCCGCCCCTGCTCACGCATTTATTTTTTTTACGTTTATTATAAGCCCCTTTACCATTTCCACTTATAAAAGTCCAGGTAACAATTTTTTTTTCTCTAAGTGTAATTTGGTTGGACTATAAGGAAAAAAAACGGAAATTATGCCACAAATGAATAACGTTAGCAGTATCAAAAGGATACATTCAAATTTTTATCTCGTTACTAGACAAAAGGAAAGCCGAAGCCCCGCAGCGTCGGGCTCGTCACCTGTCACCTGCCTCGGCCAAATTGGCGCAACTTGTTGCTCTCGACCCCAAATTAAAAATGAAAAATCGCAGAGGCACGTCTCCGGTGCGGCGGAAGAACGTGGACAAAAAAGCCATAAATCACTCGCAATACTCACGGGATACTCGTCGTACTTCACGCCCAGCTGGTAATCGGGGTAGTCGTCGCTCTTGTGGTAGCCGTCGACCTCGACACCCATCACAACACATGCGGTCACCAGGAATAGCACGCGATGCATCTCGCAGTCCTGCAGGATGGCTCGGCGGTAGTTAATGGGCAAGAAGAAGAGGCATCATCCGACCGTCTTTCGAGTGGTGCGTTGACGCGCGTTTCCGGTTGTCGTCCTGTTGTTGTTTAGGCTGTAATGCGATAATGCACTGTACGTGAAAGTTGGGTAGCGTGGCTTTTAAAGGGGCGGCGCGTACGCGACGCGCCGCCACCGCCACCGCCTCACGCTGTTTTGTATTTTCTGGCATCGGCGAGGCCTGATGGACTGGCGACCACATGGTGGTTTCGAGCATGTCGTCGCCGCTGGGGTGTCCGGCTTTTCTAATATTTCCAATTTCTGGGATCGCCCATACAGGGTGTTCCATTTACCACGGATCCTTCCGCGGCTCTGGCAATACTAATAATAAAGGTGTAAGTTACAACCAGAGCTGGTTTATACTCACACAACTTTCTACTTTTTATAATAAAAACGAAATTTATTTTGAGTACACAGAGTGGGAAGTTTAACTGGAGCAAATTCTGTAACTTAATAAATAAAGGTTTGTCGCAAAATTCCTGAAACACGTCAATTTTTATTTTCAATGAGGCATATTGTTTATTTTTTTAATTATGTGTTTAGTTTAGTTTAGTTTAGTTTATTGGTGCTATGTATACTATTATTTTTATTTATTTTTTACTTTAATTTGTGTATTAGTGTATTAGTATGTTTTTGTTAGTGTATTTGTTTTTGTTATGTAGTATAGTATATAATTTTTGTAATGTTTAATGATTAAATATTCGTTTGGGCGCCTTTTGTTGTGTAGAATGTAATCTGTGAGTGTTGTTTATTAATTTTTATTGGATGCAGGTTCTCAGGATAAAGTTAAGCAATAACAATGACAGATTTCATCGAATTATACTTTTCTTACCTTGGTTTTGCTTATCTCTCCTCCGGCAGCTTTATCTTGCATAAATAATATTTACAGTGTGCACTTTATTACAGTGTAGATAGGAATGTTTAGTAATCAATGGTACACTGTCCCTCAAAAAACACTTATTAAGAATACTAGCATGAGTTCTTATCTCAGAGAAGCGGTTCAATATTATTCAAATTTACTATCACTATAGATTTGAGTGGGAAGCAATGAATTAAGGCAAATTTTTAACGATTTTAACAATATGACATTTATTAATTATTCATTTTAAAATTCCGAACAATATTTTTAAGAAACACAGAAGCTAGATATGTTATGGACTTTTACATGAATAAATAACTGATAAAATTTTCTTAACTCTACCTCACTCAATTTCGAAAATATTTGGTTAACCAATTTGTATTGTTTTTAATGTATTACGAAACAAATTAACTTAAATTAAGAACACAAAAACTTAACTAATCCTTATACTATGAAATGTTCTAAAATATGATTTTAATTTCTATTCACTGCTATTCTCTATGGTTTGAAATACAGTTTTTGATTTCACAAAATGTTTTTAATTCAAATTTGTAAACACTCTAATTTATGTTTTGGAGAGTATGCTTAGGCAACTGGACTTACATTTTCCATTATCTCTGCGTTGGAATGTCCAATATTCACTCTAACTTCGCTTTTTAATCGTGTGTGAAACAGCTGTTCTCGTCTCTTGTGGATCGTTTTTGTAAGTTGGTTGCGTCCTGGTTTTCTACGATGTTATTTGGGGAGCTACAGGATAACATGCACCCCTAACCTGTGTCTGGGACCAACTAGTTTCTTTTCCAACTTGTTTACTTCGAAACGATGCTGTGTTGATTTCCGTTAAAAGGTAAATTTTCTGATTTGTCCTTTTTTTATTGGTCACTTGTATCCATGAGATATTGTTTTCTTACTGCGCACTTTCTCTCCAACATATTGCGATGTGATTTTATTTTTAATAAATTACGGCGTAATTTGTATTTTGTAACTGCGTAGTAAATTTTTTACGTCCTAAAACTAGTTTACAAGAAATTTCTATATGGAATTCTGAATGACAATTTTTATAATAAACTTCTAGCCTATGTGTTCTTCTGATACTATAATATTTGAATTTTCTTTTGTACTAATTTATTTAATGTTCATTTAATTGTAAAATTGTTAAATTGGCCTTTCTTGTGGCATTTTTCTTGTGGCTTCATGCTTCCACTTCGATCTTAAACTTTATCTTTTTGATATGCTTCTCTATTAAAATGTATTAGTTAAATTTTGAATGATAATATTTTAATTTTGATATGATATAACTATAAAATGGGATTTTATTTTACTTTAAAAGTAATTTGTCTTCATTATAGTTTACGTTATAACTTTATGAATTGGTGTCATACATTTTAAATTTTTCTCTCTACCATTACTCTATGTCATGTCTTGAAACACAGTGTGTTCATTTCAATACATTAGTATTTACACAAGTCAAAAAAGAAAGAAATGGGAAAAGCGAATGTACATAATAGTGAGGACAGAGTCCTATAGTAAGAGTAAGAGTAAAATCTAACGTCTAAAGATTCAAAATCAAAATGTAAAATACACATACAAATTAGATACAATACAAACATCAACGTAAATAGTCAAACGGAAAAAATACAGTAAAGACTGACAATTGCAATACATAGATGTAATATAATAAGATAAATAAAGCAACAACTAACTAAAACAAGAATATACCGGAAACAAATGGAATGTATCTACTGCATATTTGTATTTAAAAATTCATCTACGCTATAGAAAGCATGTCTTAATAAAAATTGTTTCACGTTACGCTTAAAACTAATAAAATTTAAAGTTTTTATTTCATGTGGTAAAACGTTATACAATTTAACACCCCAGTATGCTGTTCCGTTTCTTGTTCAACTAAGCCTCAGGTACGCATTATTAAGCATGTCTTTATATCTAGTACCGTGACAGTGAATTTCACTACGAACTGGATACATTACAATATGACTTTTTACATACAGCAAACATTGTAATATATATATACACAAGGGAGCGTTAGAATTTTCAACAAAATAAATTGCTGTTTACAGTCATCTCTGAATTCAAGTCCTGATATTATTCTTATAGCTTTTCTTTGCAAGCTGAATACACCGCAAGCTGAAATAGCATGACCCCAGATTAGTATGGCATAAGATAAAAAGGTTGGTACTGATACTTGATAAGTCAAAAAATTACGTAGCAAATACAGATTTTTTGATATTTTGTTGCAAACATGCGTTGTATGGTGATTCCATAATAGCTTAGGGTCTAGATATACTCCCAGAAATTTGACAGATTTCGGATTTTCCAAGAGATCAATATCCCGCAGACTAAATATCATGGTTTCTGTCTTAGCTCTGTTTAGACTTAGATGATTTGAAAGAAACCAATTATCATTAATCATAGCTTATCCTATATATATAATGCTATCATTAACTCAGCTTTTTTAGTTCGATCAAAGAGCTCGTTCAGTTCAAAACCTTGACCCGTGATATTAGTGTCATCTGCAAACTGAATAGTCAATAGAACGTGACAAATCATTCACGTAAATCAGGAATAATACAGGCCCAAGCACAGATCCCTGTGGTACTCCTGCATTAAGAGTGAGATAAGTAGACCTGTCATTGTTTTGGGTTACATATTGTTGCCTATTGGTAAGATATGATGTTATTAAATCAGTACTCTGAATTGTAAAGCCATAGTAATGCAATTTATTTGTAAGTGTTTCATAGGACACACTCGAAAGCATTGGTAAGGTCTAAAAATTCTGAATACATGAATAGTCTTTGCTCAAAGCTAGAATTTATAACACTACTCAGTTTTTCAATGGCTAGAGTTGTTGAAAGACTGTTTCTGAAACCAAATTGATTATTATTAAAAAGATTTTCTCTCTCAAAATAATTGACTATCTGATTCTTTAAGACACTTTCAAAGATCTTTGCAAAATAGGGGATGACAGAAATGGGTCTGTAGTTAGATGGATCATTATAGTTCCTTTTTTTATATATTGGGATTACCTTAGAAATTTTTAAGCAATTAGGAAATACATTTTGGGAGATACTGATATTAATTAAGGCTGATAGAGGTTTTAAAATTGCAGGTTGTATTGATTTGATTATTTCAGTACATATGTCATAAACATCCTTTGATTTTTTATTTTTTAAGTTATTAATTGCCTGCTTTATAATTTATGTGGAAACCGTAGAGAAGTTATTCATATAATCCGTATATACCGAATTACTAGCTGGAAATAATATTTGCGGCTACATTTACAAAATATGTGTTAAATACGTCAGATAAAATTTTATTTGTCGGTTCTTTGACTTTTGTTTTACTACCATTTACAATTTTCCAGATAGCCTGAGTTGGATTGTTGTGTGCAGATATATAGTTATCATGAGCCAGCTTTTTTTATTACGTAATTCGTTGACATAACGGAATTTATAATATCTGACGAGTGCCAGTTGATGTAATGGATGCAACATTAAAAAATGTTACCTAATATTGATAAAACTGAGTCTATTTTATTTACAACTATGTATAAAGTTAGTAAAATAAATGTTACTAACATAGATTTAAACATCGATAGTGAAAAACAAGCCATTGTTACCGAAGTTAAATACCTGGGCTTCGTACTGATAGTGTGCTTTCATTAAGTCGTGTCAAATATATTCATAATAAAATATATAAAAAATTGTTCTTCCTTTCAAGAATTGCAGGTAATTTAACAATGCATTCTAGAATTACTGTTTACAATAATATTATTCGACCACATTTTGAATACTGTGCATCATTACTGTACTTGTTTAATTTAAATCAAATAGCTCAATTACAAAAATTACAAAACAGAGGTATGAGAATCATACTGGAATGTAAGAAATATGCACCCATCAGTTATATGCTTTCTGCAGTTCGATGGATGTCTGTTAAAAATAGACTTTTTTTATTGTACGATGATATTTATTTACAAACATACAGGGATGGCCAAAAGTACGGAATAAAAGTCATATCTTTTGAATGAGTTAATTTTTTTTTAAAACGCCGACAC